AACGCCGTCAGAGGCAATATGTAATTTTTAATTTTTGTCTTGGTTTTTATTAATTTCGAAAAAGCATCTGAGAAGTGAAGAACAAAAGCGTGTACAAACGAAAAAATATAACAACAATGCCATTGTTGATATGTTGGAGGAGTTTTGTGCTACTCTGATGTAATGCAGGGATGGAGTATATGGTCCTGCCCTAGGACATCGTAATGTTAATTGGACCATATTTTTTATATGAATTGTGGTTAATTTTGGAGTATTCCTTGGTCCTTAGGGAGTACTCTTTACACGCATGCATGGAGAAGCCGCGATTTTTGCAGGGAATAACTCCGAATTCTCCACTCACTAGCTGCAAAAGCGGCAACCTTGCGCAAGCAAACAAACGTCAAGTGAAAGGCACTTGACACAAGACGAACAGCTGTCAATGACAAAGAATAAAATGACCAAAACAAGAAAAATAAAAAACATAAGGGTAAAATTGTATGTTTGCGACAGTTCTGAATTTGATGGAGTCTTTTGCAGAGTTGGTTGTTTCATCGTTCTGAAATTAACGAGGTGCTTATCATCAGCGATATATCTGCGTTAAAACGTGCTTTTAAATCCGTTCATGCTGCCCCCAATACTGCCCCATGGCAGTATTGAATTCCTTTGTGAGTTGTAGATTGCAGTGAATTGTAGATATTTGTGTCTTGTTGTATGAAATAAATAAATGTGTATGAATGTACGTATGTGGAAGAACGTAGTCGTTTCATTCTACGCGATGCTCAGGCTTTTCTTTAATTGGTAAAGCGCACAGCTTGCTAACCGGACGTTTTAGAGTGCCATACTTTGTCTTCAATGTTGCGACGCGAACTAATTTATCTGCTCCTGGATGGACTTCAATGATTCGTCCTCTTGGCCATTCGTTCGGAGATAAGCGATCATCTTTGATGAGAACGAGATCATTTATTTCGAGGTTTTGTTGTTCTTGCTGATATTTTGGGCGATTTTGCAAGTGCGAGAGCCAATCCGACGACCATTTAGACCAAAAGTGTTGTATCATCTGCTGCAATGCGAGGTAGTTTTTGCTTAGTGTTAACTTAGTTGTTGATTGTTCTGGTGGCGGGGCTAACAATGCATCTCCGATCAAGAAGTGGCCGGGCGTCAGTACTTCCAAATCATTAGGATCAGCAGTGAGTGGGCATAATGGGCGTGAGTTTAAACACGATTCAATGCGAATCAACACCGTTGCTAACTCTTCATACGTCATTCGAACGCCTTCAACATTACGTTTGAGGTGATACTTGGTCGACTTAACGTTTGCTTCCCATATTCCTCCAAAGTTGGGTGCGTGTGGCAGATTGAAATGCCATTGAATCCCCTTTTCAGCTGGTTGAGGCACTACGTCTTTTTCCACTGTTTTGGCAAAAGTTCGTTTATTTATTACATTGTCGGCGCCCAAAAAATTTGTGCCGTTGTCACAGAATATCTCACGGCATAACTCACGGCGACCGATAAACCTGTGCAGTGCCATGAGAAAATGCTCTGTTGACATACCCGTAAAGACCTCCAGCTGGATGGATTTAGTTGCTAAGCAAAGAAATATAACGATATAGCCTTTATATGTAGTGTTACCTCTAAATTTCGACGACTTTAGTTCAAACGCGCCGGTGTAATCGATGCCAGTTGCTTCGAATGGTCTCGTTGGTCGATTGACAAATTACCCATCATTTGGCTTGATGTTTCCGGCTTGCTTCGAAAGCATGTGATGCATCTTCGAATTCTCGCGGATACAGTTTGACGGCGGAGATTTGCTAGTGTGAGCTGTACGCCTCCGTGCAGAGTATTGTGGTGAGAATTGTCGATCAATAAATTGGTGAAGTGCTGTTTACTGGGCATGATTATTGGGTGCTTCTGGCGGTATGGCAAGCTTGATCGTTGCAATCTGCCCCGTACTCGGAGAAATCCCGTTGATTCTTCAAAGAATGGAGCCAAACCTCGTATTCTAGAGCCCTTTGGCAGTTGCTCCTTTGAATTAATACAAGACATTTCGGCTGCAAAGGCTTCAGCTTGCACAAGTTTGACTAATTTTAACAAACTTTCGCGTAATTCGAAAACTAGAAGAGGGCCCTTTCGGCGTTGCGATTTGTTTTCCTTGCGAGCGTTGTAGCGGTAGCGCTGAATCCAGACGTTGATGCGAATCAATTTGGTTAATGATGAATAGAGGTAAATGATTGAATCGCTTTTGATAATGACGTTTACAACAACATTATTTGATTTCGTTTCGAGTTCATCGTCGGTAAATGTGTGCGTATTCTTGTTGAGCTTCGGCCAGTTGCAGCTGTTTTGACGTAGCCAAGTTGGGCCATTCCACCACAAATCGAAGGATGATAGCTCATTCGGTGATAAGCCACGAGTGGCGCAATCAGCCGGATTCTGCTTCGTGTCGACGTGATTCCATCTTTCGACGATTTTGATAAAATCTTACTCACACGATTCGCCACGGGGGTCTTCCAATGCGATGTGTCACCACTTATCCAATGTAACACAATCATGGCATCGCTCCAGAAGTACATTGGTACGTTGTTTGTATGAACATGAAGATTTCTCTTCGCCCATGATGCAATTCGCGTAGCTAATTCTGCTCCGCACAATTCCACTCTAGGAATTGTACACATTTCATCAAGTGCAGCGAATTAAAATTCAGCGGCTCCGCTGGCTTGGCCATGTCGTTCGGATGGACAGAAACGCTCCTGCTCTGAAAATATTCAACGCGGGCCGCGATGCTGGGAACAGAGGAAGAGGAAGGCCTCCTCTGCGTTGGAAAGACCAGGTGGAGAAGGACTTGGCTTCACTTGGCATTTTCAATTGGCGTCAGTTAGCACAGAAGAGAAATGACTGGCGTGCTGTTTTGGACTCGGCCAAAATCGCTTAGGCGGTTACAGCGCCAAATAAGAAGAAGAAGAAGAAGAAGAATTGTACACATTGGCTTCGATGGTGTTGTTTTGCTTTTGGCGGTTAACAAACGTGTGTACACATTTCCATCTTCGTGTAAAAGACGGATGTATACGGAGGCGGCAAATGCCATGTTGGCTCCATCACAAAATGTATGTAGTTGAACTGATTTGATGCGCGGCGAATAGTGAATCCATCTTGGGATAGATATATCGTTAATCGCAGGAAGCTGAGTTACAAATTCAGTCCACTCTTTGCTAATAGTGGTCGGTATCTTATCATCCCAACCGAGCGGGGTGTTTTCAGAATTATGATTGTAGGCCCACACCTGTTTGAGAATGATTTTGGACTTCACGATGACTGGTGCTATAAAACCCAGTGGATCAAACAAACGAACAGTGGTTGATAGAATTGTACGTCTTGTTGCGATTGTTGGTAGCTCGAATCCCAATTGAAATTTGAATACGTCTCCGTTGGGTTGCCAGCCAATACCTAATGTCTTGACTACTTCGCCGCTGTGGAGTTCAAGTAAGGTGCCACTGTACTCATGTTCGAGCGGAAAGGATTCGAGTAATGCTGGGTGATTACTTGCCCAATTCCTCAATTCCATGCCCGTTGACGCGAGAGCTGCCTTCCCTTGATCTCGTTTCTTGATGGCTGATGCTAGGGAATGGCCGCCAGATTGAACATCGTTAACGTACGTTTCCTCTTTTAACACGTTCTCTGCCAGAGGGTAGCGTTGTTTTTCATCATCGGCTATTCGATGAAGGACACTGATCGCAGTGCACGGAGCTGAGACTGTGCCAAATGTAACCGTTGTTAGACAATATTCTTGAAAACACCGTTTGTTGTCACGCCACACTATCTTTTGATAAGGAATGTCATCCGGATGCATGTCGATACATCTGTACATTTTTTGCACGTCAGCGTTGAACACGAATTCGTAGAACCTCCAGTTCAAAATAACTGCCGGGAGTTCATTCTGAAGTGCCGGCCCTATGCATAGAATATCATTTAGTGATTTCCCATTTGACGTTTTCGATGAGGCGTCGAATACAATACGAAGTTTCGTAGTTAGCTTGTCCTCACGTATAACCGCATGATGTGGCAATACACACGCAGTAACTGCTGATTGGTTTGTGCTTGTGGCAGGGAAACGTTCTTCTTCTGTTGATGTGGATGAAACTATTTGATTCAAGTCGAAATATTCTTGAATGCCAGTTGAATAACGTTGCATCAGTTCTTCTGAACGCAGTAAATGCTTTTCAAGTTGCAGAAATCGATGGGTGGCCATTTGTTTAGATCGGCCCAACGTCTAGTTTGGGTCGAAGTGAGATTTGAGCGGCAGCCGTACCATATATTTTCCCGTTGGTTGACGAATACAATGTTGATTGAAAAAGTCGATGAACCATTGTTCCTCCTCTGATCTAGCGCGCTCTTCTTGTATTTCCTCTGTCTCGAAGAAACGTTGAACTAGTGTTTCCAAGTGTGGACTGATTGCGGTGTGATGACAACGAATGGTGGCTGACGGGTCGACAGTTGGAGCTGCGGGAGCCACTTGACCATACAAAATCCACCCAAAATATGAGTTCTGCGCTATAGGATGATCACGCCGGCCGATGCGGATGTCTGGTAACAGAATAGACGCATGCATTTCTGTTCCAATCAACAAGTCAATTTTGTTGGACTTGAAGTAGGTGGGGTCTGCCAATACGAGACCGTCCATATGCGGCCACGCCTGTGGTTCTATCTGATTGCTGGGTAAGTCCGATGTGACTGTGTCCATTACAAAGGCTAATGGTACGAATGTCTCAAAGTGCGGATTGAGATTTGAACGTAGTTGAAAACTAACACATTCGGTGCTTGTACCAGAGGTTGCTCCTACGCCGCTGACGTCCGTGACAACTGGAGTGCGACGTAAGCCTAATGCACGCACTGCGCGGCTTGTGATTAGTGTCCCCTCAGAGCATTGGTCTATAAGGGCCCTTAGAATCATTTTTCGACCAGTATTTACGTTAACGACTGGGATTATTGCTGTTGCTAAGAGTACCTTTGCTGGCTACTGCGTTGTTCTCTCTGGTAAGAAGCTAGCAGTGTATGTTCGAACTTGTGATGCTTCGAATGTAGATAATGCTTGCGCTGACGATGTTGACAGAGGCTCGCTTGTCTAGCCGCTGCTGAAATACCGCTGAAGGTGAAATGTGGTAAAGTGTGATGGCGTTTACCACAGGTTTTGCAGTTTGCTTTACTTGGACACTTTGATACGAAGTGAGTGTTACCTAGACAGTTTATGCACAGACGAAGTTGATCGGCGACTGTTTTCTTAGCAAAACAATCACGCGCTAGAAAGTCCGGGCAGGATCTAATGTGATGTGGTCCTTTGCATTCTGGTATGAAACACCTTTCTTTAGTTGATGACGTGGATGTGGAAACATGGTAGGACTTGCGTTGCAAATGAGGTTTTGACTGTACCGATTTGGGTTTGAGGTCCGTGGAATGTTTCGTCTTCACGTTTTCTTGGGGACAAGTTTTTTGTACTATTTGTCTGCTTCTCTCGATGTTGGTTACACTGATCAAGCGGTTGCTAAAAAACTTATCGAAATCTGAGTACGAGGGTACCGTTGTTTTAGATGCTAAATAGTGCTCCCAAGCTTGCAGCGTCTCCGGAGCACACTTCTTTACCGCAAAATGAGTGAGTAGATCGTTGATATGTGTAACATTGAGGCGAAGAAATTCTGTTGCGCAGCCCTTTAGCATAGTTTGTAAATGCCTCATTTCGGTTGAGTATTCCTTTGCCATGAATGGAATTGCAATAAACTCTTCTACTCGTTCCTCGAAGACTATCCGTGGGTTGTCATACCTTTCTTTAAGCATGTCCCAAGCGATTTGGTAGTTCGCTTCCGAAAGTGGCTATTCGAAAATATCTCTATGTTGGTCAACTTGCACCGCTGTTCGAAGATAATGAAACCGCTGAATAGAGTTCAACTCTGGATTTTGGTGAATTATCCTCGTAAATGTGTCGCTAAAACTAGGCCAATCTTTTGCATTTCCCGAAAATGTTGGCAGTGGTATCTCAGGGAACTTGGTAGTAGTAGCGTTTTGAAGATGTGATACCAATGGCTGATGCAATTGTGACTGCTGCGGGGGTTGTGTCGGATACTTCTCATCTCTCATATCGGAGAGCTCGGAGAACACCTCATCGTAGTTGTCGATGAATGCACTGTATTCATCATTTGTGAAATAGTCGTCATCAGTGTCAGTGGCTGTGTTGACTATGATTTTGTGTCTAGTCAGAAATTCTTGCCGCCTTTCTTTTAAACCCTCTAGCTTCATATCAAACAATCTTGCCGTCCGTCTGTCCTGAGCATATTTCTTAAACCTAGGAAGATATTCTTTAACAATTTTTGAACTTTCCCTTTGAAGCGCGATGAGGCTTTCTAAATTAAACGATTCTTCTATTCTAGAAGCATCCATGTCTGTCGATGTATATAAGTAAGTAGCGGTGCGGTTACGATATATGCAAGCGGTGAGGCGATTTGCAAATGATATTAGTGTGTAAAATTTGGTGCAGTTTTCTTCCCTCGCGTTGTATGTAGCAAGATTTCAAATGTCCTTTGTGTAGTCACTGATTCCCCTCATGGGCCACCAAAAAATGTTTCCTTTCATTAAAAAAAAAACATTTGTGGATATGCAGTTCTTTTGGTGACGTTCAATTTTATTACATTGATCTTTATCGTGCTTATTTAGTTGTATTTATTTACTGGTAATTTTTGTATAATTATTACATGTGTTTTATTAGATGATATATTCAAAAGTCAGTGCACACTAAAAACCTTGAAACGACCTTCGCCCATTACTCTCTCCGACTCATTCCTAACCCTGCAAAAATCCTTGGACCATGTAGTCCATTTGTGGTATATTGGAGTACTTACAAAAGTGTTCCTCTGTCATGCTGTAGCGGACCAACTCATGTCTCTGCGCCAGCTTATTGTTTGTTACCCGATAACTGCTCGTGTTTTAACGAAATGTGGTTGGAGTTGAGCATTTGAAAGCATATTTGCATGTCTGGCTGTAGCTGAACGTGTAGAGATGCTCCATGTTAGTTGTGAGCTCCCAGCAAGTTCGGGTTCAAACGCCGTCAGAGGCAATATGTAATTTTTAATTTTTGTCTTGGTTTTTATTAATTTCGAAAAAGCATCTGAGAAGTGAAGAACAAAAGCGTGTACAAACGAAAAAATATAACAACAATGCCATTGTTGATATGTTGGAGGAGTTTTGTGCTACTCTGATGTAATGCAGGGATGGAGTATATGGTCCTGCCCTAGGACATCGTAATGTTAATTGGACCATATTTTTTATATGAATTGTGGTTAATTTTGGAGTATTCCTTGGTCCTTAGGGAGTACTCTTTACACGCATGCATGGAGAAGCCGCGATTTTTGCAGGGAATAACTCCGAATTCTCCACTCACTAGCTGCAAAAGCGGCAACCTTGCGCAAGCAAACAAACGTCAAGTGAAAGGCACTTGACACAAGACGAACAGCTGTCAATGACAAAGAATAAAATGACCAAAACAAGAAAAATAAAAAACATAAGGGTAAAATTGTATGTTTGCGACAGTTCTGAATTTGATGGAGTCTTTTGCAGAGTTGGTTGTTTCATCGTTCTGAAATTAACGAGGTGCTTATCATCAGCGATATATCTGCGTTAAAACGTGCTT